CTGCGGGCCCTTGCCGTCGCTCGGACGTCCATTTCCCGTGCATTTTTCGGTTTCGTGCGTGTTGTTTTTCCTCGATGGTCCAGGATGGTCCTCGTGGTTTCTCGCCGAAAAAAAAATGCACACGTCCAAGCGATGCCAAGGGCCATCCTTTCCCAGAGGCGCCAGACAACCACAATCGCCGTCAGCTCGACGCCCCGGCCTCCCCAGACCCCCGACGTCATGATTTTTTCATGACGTCGACCCCCAGAGTTCTGGACCCATTCCCCAGGACCGGTTTTTCGTCCTGAATCGTTTTTTGACGGCCCCGAGGGCCGGTAAGGGCCCCGAGAGGCCAAAAATAATGAAAAACCTCCCGTCGTGATTTTTTCATGACTCGAGGGGGACTGGGTCTCCTCGGGCCAGCTTGCCGAGCTCGTTCTGCCCCAGCCCGCTGGCACGGCCAGCCCTCTCCCGGTGTGCGCTCGGGCCAGCCAGCCCTTCCCGGGGCTCCGTTCCCTCGAGCACGCTGGCCCGGCCAGCTCTCTCGGGGGTCCGCTGGCCCGGCCAGCCCTCCCCGCCCCGCTCCCCGAGCCCGGAGGCCCTTTTTCCCCGACCTCTCCAGGGGTGCGTTCGGGCCAGCCCTGGCTCGGGCATGTCCTCCCTGTACAGGGAGATCTTGGACGAAAAATGAAAAATACGCAACCAATGCTCCCAAATGGTCAAAAAGAGTCCCCCCAAATCGTCCCCATACTATGTTTTCTCTATTTGGGAATCTTCATCCTGTAGAGGGACGTGCCCGACTGAAGGCCAGACCTTCGAGGCGACTCCAGCGGTGGCGACGAAGGACTCCCAGGAGGCTCAGAGAGGGTCGCACCTCGCCAGTTGCCGGGGTGGGCTGGACCTAAACGACGACGACGACGACGGCGGCGACGACGACGACGGCGACGACGAAAACGACGACGACGTCGTCGTGGTCGTGGTCGGTGTGGTCGTCATCGTCGGTCGTCATCGTCGTCATCGTCGGTCGTCATCGTCGTCGTCGTCGGAGGAGGAGGAGAAGTCTGGGGAGGGGCCAGCAAGGAGAGGCGGGAGCAAGGAGAGGGGTGGTGGGGCCGTGAGGACCCCGGGCGACCCTCCGGAGGGACTCCGAGGGCCTCCGAGGGCCTCCAGGAGCCAGGAGAGAAGCCAAAGATGCCACAAGGCATCGAGCATCGACGACGACGACAATGAGGTCAACCAGGACAAAGACGACGACAAGGTCTGTGAGGACGACAACGACACGCGGCCGACGACAACGACATCGGTGAGGAGGACGAGGAGGAGGATGGCGACGACGACGCGACTGACAACAACGACGGGGTCGACGAGGACGACAACGACGACGCCGCCGACTACGAAAACAACGACGACGAGGCCGACGTTGACGCCGACAACGTCGATGAGGACGACTAAGTTGACGCGGCCGACGACGACGACGAAAACAATGGTGACGAGGCCCACGCCGACGACGTCGACAAGGAGGACGAAGTCAACGCTGCCGACGTTGACAACGACGACGACGACGAGGCCGACTCAGTCGACGAGGCCGACTGTGACGAAAGCTCCGGGATGGTTGTGGTCTCGTCTACGATGATGGTGCTGCCCAGGATTCCGCTGTGGCGGCGCTTGCCGCCTGGGCGGGCCCTCACGATCGCCTCGACAACCTGCCAGGTCATCATTGCTGCCGTCGCCGCTGGTTGTCGTCGTCAGCGCCATCGGTCATCCGTTTTGAAGATGCCTGGTCGTTCTCGGCAGACTTCAGAGGTGCCTGCGGCTTCTGGGAGGCTCCTCGAGGTTCTTGGAAATCATCGGAGGCCGTCGTGGTGGTAACGCTGGTGGTCTTCGTTGAAGCTGACATTGTCGTCTTCCTCCTCGTCGTCGTCGTCGTCGTCGTCGTCAACATGATGCTCTTGCGACTTCTTGCGTGACAACTTCCTCTGCGGTGGGGGCATTGGGTAAGGAACCCTTAGATAAGGAATCCAAATTCTGGAGGCGGGTGGAACTCCAATCGAGGCCTGGCCATGGATATCTCCGCCGCCCTCATCAGGTAAAGAATCCTCCAGGGTCTGGGGAAACCAAAAGGTACCGATACCGCTACTCCCCGGACCTCTCCCGGGGTGCGTTCTGACCAGGATTTCGAGGCGAATCCAGCGGTGGCGACGACAGAGGCCCAGGATGCCAAAAAGGGGAAAACGAGGAAAGGGTAGAGGTATGGGTACCTTTTCCTCCTCTGAGGGTCTGAAGCAAACTGGGCGCATTCCTTAACCGACGCCCCCACCGGAGGTGCAACCACCAGGCGCTCGAACGACGAGGAGGAGGAGGAGGAGGAGGAGGAGGAGGAGGAGGAGGAGGAGGAGAAGAACGAGGAGGAGGAGAAGGAGGAGGACGAGGGGGAGGAGGAGGGGGAAGGGGAGGGGGAGGAGGGGAGGAGGAGGAGGAGGAGGAGGAGGAGGAGGAGGAGGAGGAGAAGGTAGGAGGAGAGGAGGAGGAGGAGGAGGAGCGGAGGAGGAGGAGGAGGAGGAGGAGGAGGAGGAGGAGGAGGAGGAGGAGGAGGAAGAGGAGCGAGGAGGCGGAGGAGGGCGGGAGGGGGGAGGAGGAGGAGAAGGGGGAGGAGGAGGAGGAGAAGGGGAAGGAGGAGGAGGTGGAGGGGGAGGAGGAGGAGGAGAAGGAGGAGGAGGAGGAGGAGGAGGAGGAGGAGGAGGAAGAGGAGGAGGAGCTACGAGACGCCTCTGCACGGGTGGAGGGCGGCATCTCCTTTTCGCTAGGGGGGGCCCTCGCGGACGACGTCCTCGAAAAGCCCCGACCAGCGCGTGTCACCCATGTGGCGGACGTCGGAAACCCTGAGCCCAAACACGTTGTCGTGCCACACGTGTGGCGGACGTCGGAAACCCTGAACCTAAAAGCCTTTTCTCGCTACAGTCGGGGCGTTGACCTCAGGAACCCTGAATAAGGAACGAGGCCCCTTTTTTTCCATAAATTAAACTTCGATGTCCTATCGAAGACATAAGGAAAACCTGAGGCAAGCTGTGAAACACTTACGGAACGCGGAGCCCCTCCCCAACCAAAAGGGTTCCTTCTTTAGGGCCCCGACTGTATGGTGGGCTCTCGCTGACGACGTCCTCGAGAAGCCCCGACCAGTGCGTGCCATACATGTGGCGGACGCCGGAACCCCTGCACCCAAACAAAGTTTCGTGTCACACATGTGGCGGAGGAGGAGAAGGGGGAGGAGGAGGAGGAGGAGGAGGAGAAGGAAGAGGAGGAGGAGGAGGAGGAGGTGGAGGGGGAGGAGGAGGAGGAGGGGGGGGAGGAGGAGGAGGAGGAGGAGGAGCTCCCCTGAACCCAAACAAAGCTTCGTGTCACACATGTGGGCGGGGGACTGAGGCGGCGCGGCGCCGGGCGGGCGCGGACGCTGCTCCCCCGCCCCCCCTTTTCACTCCTCTCGTCGTCGTCGTCGTCGTCGTCGTCGTCGTCGTCGTCGTCGTCGTCGTCGTCGTCGTCGTCGTCGTCGTCGTCGTCGTCGTCGTCGTCCGTCGTCTCCCCCTCTCGCCGCTGGGCTCCGCTGCGATGGTTAAAAAGGTGTAACACATGTGGTGGAGTCGGAAGCCCTGAAACCAGAAACCATTTTTCATCTCCTGGGGACGCATCGTTCGCTTCCGCCGCCCCTTCCGCTGGCTTCCGCCAGCGGAGGCGGCATCGATTTGCTTCCGCCGCCCTTCCGCCGCCTTCCGCGGCGGAAGAGATGACAACTCCTTCGATCTTCGAAGCCACAGCCCTTTTTTGAAACGCCCTACGTAGCCACTTTTCAAAAACGGTGATGCCACTGGACAACTTGATGAACTGCACGGTCATCATACGTGTCCGCACTCCGCGCGGCTCGCTGAGAGGGTGCAACGCAGATCCGTTTCACAACGGGGGTCTCGCCTGAATGGGAGGGCCACAAGGCGCTGGTATGTCAAGGGGGCACTTCTTGGAGTGGCAGGGACAACGTGTAGAAACATGTGGCAAATTTCGGAAACCCTGAACCCCACAAGGCGCTGGTATGTCAAGGGGGCACTTCTTGGAGTGGCAGAGACAACTTGTAGGAACATGTGGCAAATTTCGGGAACCCTGAACGCAAACATGGTTTAATCTCTTGGTAGCGCATGTTTCGCTTCTGCCGCCTTCCGCCGCCCTTCCGCCGGCTTCGCCAGCGGAGGCGGCCTCGGTTTACTTCCGCCGACCTTCCGCCACCTTCCGCGGCGGAAGAGATGACAATTCTTTATATTCTCGAAGGCAAGGCCCTTTTTGGAACGCCCCATCTGGGAACTGAAAAAACGAGGACTTGGGACAGGAGGGTGTGTTGCAGAGTTCACTGTGCTCATCTTCCTCCTCCTCCTCCTCCTCTTCTTCCGCCGTGCTTCCTCTTCCACCCTTCCCCCCTCCCCCTCCCTCCCCGGCTTCCTCTTCCACCCTTCCCCCCTCCCCCTCCCCTCCCCGTTCTCCAGCATCCCCTTCGCAGAGCCTCTCTCCCTCTTGGCACCCCGCTCCAGCTGCGTCGCGAGCTGCCGAGCCCGGAGAGCAGCGGACCCCCACCGACCACCTCGCCCCGGCCCTTCGGGTCCCAGGCCGCGCCACAAGGGCGCCTGCGCCTCGCCCTCGCGTTCCTCGATTGCGGCCCGCGGTGGCGCGCCGCAATCGAGAGTGCTGGTGGGCACGGCGAGCGGCGCCGCCGCGGCGACGCCGAGCTCGAGGTGCCGGCGCACGCCTGCCTCATCAGACTACCTACCAGACCACCCCCCACCCAACCCGAAGACCCGAACTTCGGGTTGGGGGGGGGGGGGTAATTACGGGTTCCATCTTTGCTCTCTCGATGTTCCCCGCCCCCCCCCCCCCCCCGGAAAGGGAGGTCAACTTGAGGCCTTCGGGTTGGGTTGGGGTGGTTTGGTGGGCGGGGACCATCGCCTGGGCGCTGGCGGCCCGCCGCTGCGCTGGGGGCGGCAGAGGACGGGGGCGGCAGCGAGGCTCGGCGGGCCGCGAGAGGCAGGCTCGGCGGCGCGCTCGCTCCGCCTCGGGGGCACGCCGATCCCCGCCGAGTGGGCGTGGACGAGCAGCACGTCGAGGTGGCGCAGCACGCCGAGCAGCGGCTTCGCGGTGCCGAAGGCGGCCAAGGCCGGGGCGCTGCTGCGGCCGTGGCCGGCGTGGCCGGGCCCACGGTCGCGGCAGAGGAGCCGAGCAGACCGGAGGCGCACTGCGGTCTGCTGGGCGAGGCCGTCGTGGTGGCGGCCTTCGTGGCGGCGGCGCTGGAGGAGCTCGTCGTGGCGGCGGGCTTCGGGGCGGAGGGGGCGCGCACCGTTGCAGGCGCAGCTCGGGGCGCTGGAGCAGCTCATGGCGCGGAGGCCGACGAGCAGGGGAACGAGAACAGCCCGCGCGTGCTCCCCGCCGCCCCCGTCTTCCCCCTGCCGGCGGGGCTGCCGACGGCGCGACACGCCGAGGGCAGCGCCGAGGTGCCAAACACATCGGGCAGACCGCGGGGGTGCTGCTGGCGCAGCTCGCGGAGGGCAGCGCCGAGGCGCCGTGCGACGAGAGGACGAGCTGGGAGGAGGTGCTGGCGGTGCCGCTGGTGGAGGGCGGCACCACGGTGCCGCACGCGGAGGAGCCCACGGCGCAGCCTGGGGAGGGCAGGCGCCGAGGCGCCGTGCGCTGCCGGTGCAAATTCCTGGAGGCGCCGACGGTGCAGCTCGCGGCGGGCGGCGCCGTGGTGCCGAGCGTGCTCGAGAGGACCGCGGAGGTGCCGACGGTGCAGCTCGCCGCGAGGGCAGCGACGAGGCGCCAATCGTCTGCGCTGACGCCGAGGGCGGCGACGACGAGATCGAGTCCCGCAGGCCGTCGACGGCCCCGAGGCTGGCTCCGAGGAGCACGAGGCCGCGCCGGCGGAGGCGACGGAGCGGTTCGGGCTCTCCGCGGAGGACATGCGCTCCCCCTTCGCCAGGCAGCCGTGGAGGGCAGGGAGGCAGCAGAAGCAGGAGGGCACGAGCGGACGGCGAGGCACGCGCCGCAGTCCCTCCTGAGCTCCGGCGGCTCGTGCCAGCCGCCGAGGGGCGGGCAGCTGTGCGCAGTTCGCTGCGCGGGCTCGCCTCGGACTGCCAGTGCAGTGCCTTGCTGGGGGCGGCCTGGGGGCTGCTCCAGTTCGGGCCCGCGAGGTTCCTGGGGGCGGCCTCGTTGGCCGCGTGCGGTTGCCCGTGGATCTCCGTTCCCGCGGGAGGGGGGGTGGGGCCTTGGCTGCGGCCTTCCCCTCCTGGGAGGGCTGTTGCTGGGGTGCACCTGCCTGGCGGGACCCCCGGGCTCCTCGTCGCCTCCACTGCCGCTGCGGCGGCGCGGCGGACTCGCCGATGCACCATTCCGATTGCCCCACTACCATCCACCTCGCCCTCGGCTCCTTCCCCTCCTCCCTCCTCCCCGATGTTCTCTCTCCGAGGGAGGAGGGAGGAGGAGAAGGCGGAGGAGGAGGAGGAGGAGGAGGAGGAGGAGGAGGAGGAGGACCTCTGGGGCCAAATTCGGTTGGGCCGAGCCCGGCATCGGCAACGCCTCCGGTCGAGCCCCACGGGACGGAGTCTGGCCGACGGCAATGCCGCAGTGCCGCTCTTGAGTGCATCACAATGCAGCGGAGATCCAAAACGAATCCCTCTTCCCTTGACTCCTCCTCGCTCCTCCTCGTTCCTCGTTCTTCCAGAATCGGCCCCCGGACCTGTCCAGTGTGGCATTCGGCCCAGCCTTTCGATGCGACGGAGCCGTGGCAACGAAGACGCGCCAGGATGCCCCCCAAAAAGTACCAACACATCCAGAACCTTGAACCTTGATCCGCACTCCTCCTCTCGCCGTTTTCTCCTTCCTGAAGCTGGCAACAAACAACATTATCGACTACTCCTGCCGTCTCGCATCAGCATGGAAAGCTACACTCGGCGAACGCGCGTGCCGATATAATGGTTTACCGATTGCATTCGGGTGCAACCCACTTCTGTGCTTGACCCTCACATGGAACTTTCATGCGGGAGCTTTCATGCGGGTGCTCTTCAAAACGCGATACCCTTCCCGTGGCGCTCGGGACTCCATCTGGGTGCCTGCTCACGAAGCTGATAACGTACCCCCGATCCCGTAGTCGCTCTCTGAAAAAATGTGTCTACCCCAAGGCTCACATAAAGCTCCGTCCGAGTACAATAGAACCATACGATTCGGTGGCAACTCATGGGAGCCGCCCATGCCATCTTGTCGGCTCTTGCGAATCGGCGCTAATCGACGCCAAGTCGACGCTAGTCGACGCTGAGTCGACGCTAATCGACGCCAGCCGATGCTAAGTCGGCGCTATCTCATCGACTCCCAAACGCTAATCGACGCTAAGGACGGAATTAGGAAGAAATGCCAGGCTCCCATGGCTTGCTACCGAAGTGCGATACGGAATCCCGCTACGAGAGACTCGGGGGCACGGTCGTCTTCGGTCTCCGAACTCCCCAGGCCTCCGAACATCCCGAAGCGCCCAAGGCTTCGACGGGTGCCCAGGGCCATCGGGGGATTCGACATGTGTGTGGAGCACCCGATGCAGCCAAGGTGAAGCACTTCTGCTCGGCGTGTCGCGGCGGCGGCCCCGGCGACACGCCCTGCCCTGCGAGCGGACAGCGTGCCGCCCCGCTCCGCGGCACGGGAGGCCGGGGAAGGGCACGCTGACGCCTGGGAGCCCAGACGCGGACAGCGTGTCGCGCCGAAGCCTGGTGGGCCAGAACTGGCGGCGCGAAGCGCTAACCCAGAAGTTCCCGAGAGTAGGAGGAGGCGGAGGAGGAGGAGGAGGA